TTTTTTTTTTTTTCAGGTTTGGGGGGGAGGGGGCACTCAGCTATGCTTTATGTATGTTTATGCATGCATTTGTATGCGCGTTTATACACATGCCAAACTGAAATTTCAGGGGGGGGGAATTATGGGCTTCCTTAAATTTAAAGCTATTCCTTACAATTTCAAACCACAAAATCGAACGAAGTGATGTTTGTGCATACTACCATGTTTACACATTCTTACGATAAGGAGCGAGTTTGCTTATTTAAGAAAATTACAAAAAAATATAGGGTATTGCAGTTATAACATGAGCTCGCCATCCTATGTTGGAGAGCTTCTCTTCTGACCAGTGGTGACGACCTTGCATAGGACCACAAAAGGCTTTTCAAGTCAGCGGAGCATGAAAGAATTTGTCGCACTTCTTCATCACCCAACAACTATATGCTCATTTACGCCTTGATGCCACTGCCTATGATTTTCGAATATCTTTGGACAGTTTATTGTTTTATTGTTAAGCAAATCCTTTTGCATTTTCTTCATGTTTTACCAGGCAGTGGTTGCATGTGCAAAACATTGCATAGATCCAACACGTCCATTGTCACTTAGAATGCTCTTTGAAGGTGCTTTGAAACAAAATAATAAAATTGCTGTTTTATGTGTAGCCTGGTTTCACATCTAATATGAGGTGCATTCTCAAATTGTTAGTTACAAAAAAAAAAAAAAAAGAAAAAAACTCAAGTTAATACAATACTTGCATTTGGTACAATTTCTTTGATGTAGCTATATTTTGGGTGAGAGCCTTGATATTGAAACTCATATGTTTTGAATGTTGATTGCTGACAATGCTGTCTTCTTAAAGTGACTTGAGTTCTGCTGTTTGTAGTGAGCCTCGCTTCATGTTGATGGTGCAGGCAACAGTAGAGCTGCGTGCTCAATTAAGAGCAAACCGGAGCACTCAAGGATGGAGCTCATAGATATTGACATGGATGTGATTCCAAGGGAGACAACACCGCCACCAGATGATTGCCCAAGAAAAGAGAATGCCACGGTAATGTGCATATCTAAAGGGCAGCTTCAGGAATTTTTAGTTTTGCATACAGTTGTCGTTGTAGGTGAAATTTTTTTTGTGCTTGCTTAACTGTAAATGCTGCTTTTTCAGATGGTTGTTATGATTTTTTTTTTGCAATACATTCCTCTGATGCAGGTGGACATTGGCAGTGGCCTTCGAATAAATTCTTGTGCGTGGAGTCACATCCAGGGCCATCAAAAGGATTCTCTTTTTGTGAAAGACCTGCTTCTTGGAATTTGGCCAAAGGAGCAGCTGAAAAACCGCTCTTTGCAAGGTATGTTGCTGTTCTATAGATTTTTTTTTTATAACGACAAAGCTCTTTAGGCTAGCCTTATTCTGTTCAAGGCAAAGAAATTCCTAGGTGGGTATGTGCCACAGGAATTGGCCAATCCCCAATGCAAGTTCAGCAGGTGCAAGTGTTAAATGAAAACTGCTTGACGGAGTGGAGCATGTCAAACATGGGAGAGGAAGAAAGAGAACTAAGAGGAGTAAAGGCATAAAATGATCGAAAGACTAGACTCGGAGAAAGAGATAGAAAAGCAGAGAGCAAGACAAAGAGAAACAGGAAGAGAGTGAGAGACATAGATAGAGGAAGTAATCAGTAGAGAGAGAAAGGAAGGGAAGAAAGAGCAAGAAAGAAACCGAGAAATTAAAAGGAGCAACAAGGAAGGCTGCCCCGCTCCGCTGTTTCTTCAGGCTTGGCACCACTAATGCGAAGCTGCCATAATTTTTTTTAGCGCTGTGAACTAGAAGTAGCAGTATTATAGTTAACCACTGTTCATTTGTGTCTTGCAGGAAAGCGGTGTCCACGATTTCCGGATCGGCCTGCAAAAACTCCACTGACGCCTTGGAAAGTGGAAGTGATGCGGGGTAAGTGTCCATGCTTTTTAAGATATTTTGGTGTAGACTGTCTTTGTTCATTCTGCCTCAGACCATATTCTTATAGACTCCATTTTTGTTTAAGAACTGTTTCTTCTTGCCAGTTAGTGATGCCCTGTGAACCTTTTGTTTTAGATTGTTACAGACGGCGACTGCAGCGCCAAGGTATTCCTGAAAACCTTGTGCCTGCTGCACTCAAGCAGCTAAACCATTTTGTGGTGGAGAAGCTGGCAGACCTTGAGAGGATGGCAAAACGGTGAGATGCAGTTGTAAATGTGTTTTGATGAATTTCAGGAAGGTTCTTGTATGTAGTTTTAAATGACATGCAGCCTTGTAAAAAAAGTGTTCAAAGCATCATACTGATTAAATGCCATGCCAGTGCATTTACTCACACCTGTGAAGTATGTGTGAGATCATGTGGTAAAAACTAGTCTTGAGCTCCTAGCACATCAAGTTAGCACTTTACTCACATCTGAGCAGGCCCAAATTCTAGGCTGACCCCCTAAGGTTTGAAGCCAGAAAAAAGAAAAGAAAATGTTACCTCAAATGTAGACCCAGCAGGAAAACGTTTACAGTATGCAAAAAACTCAAAACACATACAGTAGAACCCAGATATATATATAGAGCCATAAAGGAGATTGCAAAATAGTTTGATATGGCAGCAAAGCAGACAACTCGTCCAGCTTTCTCCTGTGTGTGTTTGTGTGTACAATGATTCTCTGCTGAACAGTGCTGTTCTCTTGAAACCCGGCGCCTGCTACAATGTGTAGCCTGCTATGTATGGTCACAATATTACTGCACTGGGACCCCTTTCCGTGCTTGTTTACTATGTCAGTGTCTGTGCAGTAACATTTTCTTGTGCGTAAGCGTTCACTTCTGACAATAAGCGGGTGTTGCGTGCATCATTTTGGGCCAATGTGGCGGCTATGCTTTTTTGTGCAGTTAAGGCGGTTTTAGCTATTCCACCATGGCACCAACGCATTTGGGTTGTTGCATATTAGCAGTATGCAGTAAGTTTAAATGGCGCTGTGCCTTACATGCTGCTAAACAGGTAGTCGAAAATGCCTAGTGCAATAGGGCTGTCGGCAATCCGTTGCACTCTCATGTTTGTCAGTGGCTGCTATCACATTTGCAGCCATCGCCACATGTGCTTAAGTCTTAATCGATGGCCAGCCGGTGCGTCCAAATGAAAATGTGAAATATTTTGCACAGTACAGCATGCTACTGGCCACACCTAGAGTTGCGGGGTGCACCTTGAATCAACAAGCTTATGAGCCTTGATGGCATGATCAATCCATGGTTATTATGCTGGTGGAAACAATTACTGCTATCACTCAACTGTAACAATTTTTTAAGTACTCAAATATAAACCAACCCGACAGTATTTGAGTTTGAGAAAGACTATTGGCCTAGATTTGCGTAAATATGATACACACTCTGCCTACAGCAATAAGCAATGTCATTACCTATCCCTAATATTCTGACAGGTCCATTTCTAAGGATAGTTCTGCAGCAGGCTACCATTGAAAATGTTGCAAAGGGCCAGCTCTCATGCCTTGAAGTCGTAGTGTGGTTCAAGCACCACAATGTCGTTGCATCATGTGTATATGTAACATTAGCGATGTGAACTTGTAACTTTCATGCACTTGTGTATTTTTCAACACTTTCAGGGAGAAGGACAACCTTAAGCCACAGGAAAGCTGTGAATAAGGCCAGCAAATTCCAAGGTCAAGAGTAAGCCGTGCCTGCAAATTTGGTCTAGTCATTTTCCAGTCAACTTTTGCAATACTTGTACAAGTAATAAATTATTGTAAATCAAGTACCTTCATTTTATGGTTTTTATTTTATGCATGTGCAATACACATCACTCACGACCAAGCATACCGGATCATTTTGGTCAGGATGAACATTTTTGCTTTAACAATTGGTGTGCTCTTTGCCCATGTATTTCAGCCAAACACCAATTTGTAATGGAAGAATGTTAGGTTCAAGCTAGACCAAGCTAGAAGTTCACTTCAAATGGTTGACCAGTTGCACACCAGCCAGCTCTAACTGGATGACCATGTACATTCAACTGGCTGACCAATGGCGCACCAATCAGCTTCAATTGGATGACCTGTTGGCACCAGTTGGCTTGAACTGGATCACCACATGTTTTCAACTGGTTAACCATTTGGGCACCAGTCAGCTTCTATTGGATGACCTGTTGGGTGCCAGTTCACTCTAACTGGGGGACCATACGTTTTCAACTGGTTAACCAGTTGGACACCAATTCACGTGAGCTGGTTAACCGGTTGGCTTTAACTGGATCATTATGTGTTTGACTGGCTGACCAATGGCGCACCAATCAGCTTCAATTGGATGACCTGTTGGCACCAGTTGGCATGAACTGGATCACCACATGTTTTCAACTGGTTAACCATTTGAACACCAATTGTCATTGACTGGTTGACCAATTGCACTCCAGTATCTTTAATTGGATGACCATATGTGTTCAACTGGCTAAACAGTTGAGCACCAGTTGGCTTTAACTGGATCACCATACGTGTTCAACTGGTTAACCAATTGGGCGCCAATCAGCTTCTATTGGATAACCAGTTGGCTTTAACTGGATAACCATTTGGACGCCAATTTACATTGACTGGTTGAATAGGTGGACACCAGTTATCTAGAATTGGTTGACCAATTGGACACCAGTTAGCTTTAACTGGTTGCAGTGAAAAGAAAGCTGGGCACCAATTAAGATTCGGTTACGTCCAGTTAAATATAATTGGAAAACCAATTGGCCACCGGCACTGTCCAAATGGTTCACCAATTGGACGTAAACTGGTCTACCAATTGGATATAATTGGTACGCTCCCAACTGGTGGCGAAATTCCAATTGGTCGAGAACCAATTCGTAGCAATTGGTATTTGTCCAATTGGACCCATTGATTTTTTTTGACTGGGGTGCTTGCCTACAATTGTACCGAACAGTTTCCAGACGGCTTGGTTCCCCCCTCTCATGTCTGTCACCACAACATCTACTTTCAGGGAAATTGCCTCACATGCTTTTATGATGACAATGATTATATCCTTAACTGTTTTGGCATGGAATGAATTTCCAGTCAAATGGTAAGCAACTGTTTGCTTCCAACGGGTTGTTATCCCACTGAGCATAAATACCAGCCCATGAGTGGCCAAACAGTCGAGTGGCAGTGTTCCGTCTGCAAGAGGTATAGTTGGGGCTCCAAGCACTGTTTCCCGAGCATGGGTTGTACACTAAGCCTGGTGCAAGCTGCATCTCATCGAGCATTAAAGTGGCGTGCCGCTCCTCTGGTGACATGAGGCTAACCTATGGAGTGGAAAGATTTAGTTAGGCGATGCAAACAGCGGTGCTATGGTAACAAGACAGGTTATGGGCACCTGTCTGTGCACTTACCTTTAGTGCGAGAGACGCCATGATGTCCTCCAGCAAACCTGGTGTGAACTTGTACCCTTCCAAGTGACGATGTAGGGTGCGTTCTGTTGGCGGAGGTTGTCCAAGCTCCCTGACTGAGTCATAGCCACGTGCTCCACAGGAAAGTCTCATTTTCAATGCCTTTATAACAGTCTTCTTAGTCCATCGAGTCCCCTGCATTGTTGCCATCTTCAGACATTTAACTTGGTCTTCATTCAAGTATTTGTTTAGTCCTGTGACAAGGTGCTTATTTGTAGTTAGTGCCTGGAAACACTGCTTCTGAGCAAGTTGAAGCTTCCGTCGCGTCGCCTGAAGTTCAATTTCAAGCTGGGCCACCTTCTTCTGTAGAGCTGCTTGTATCAAGTGGCCTGAAATAGTGCACCGAAATTAGGTCTAAAGCAGTTGTCAATGCTAAACAGGCAAGAGCGGGGGCTAAGTGGTACTTCATATTGAAAATGTCACACTGATACAGAAAGCGCGTGCACGGAACAGCCTGCTTGCTGTTCTCTGTATGTGTATTCTTTATCAGTGCGATATATCCCCTAGTTTCTAATAGCATTGTTAAGGATGCGTTGCTGACAGCAAATGACCTGCATGAGAGCAGGAAAGCGCAACACAAAAATATCAGATAAGCGCAGGAATATCTAACATTCCCGCATGTTTCTTTTCCCTTGTTCCCTTCATGCAGTTCATTTTCTCTCACTCTGCACGAGTTGCACACAAATCAGTACTGTTACGGGTATAATGTATTGCTATTTACGAAACAAAGGGCCTCGACCTCCTAGTAGCATGGATACTTGCATTGAAAGAAAGGTTGTGTCAGCTTCCGTAAGTGTCGCTATGCGCAAAAGAGGCATTGAATGACGGCACACAAAAAAATTCGAACAAAACTGTTTAACTCACCAGCCTGTGTACTTTCTGGCTGGAATGGAGCAGGAATCTGTAGGTCTAGTTGCATATCAGGAACATCTGCGTAGAGCACAAAGCAAGTTGACAACCAGCAATGTAGAGAGGCATTGGTATCTCACATGGGGAATACACATGCTTTGGGCCACACAAAATATCTGCCTGTTTGCTTGGATCAGCTGTAGACACAGCTTTATTAGACGTGAAGGTAAGTTTGAACCATATTTTGCAACATAAAAAAAGATTGTAAATTGCAAAATATAAAATATCTCTGTGCTGTCTGCACGACATATATCGTCTGTATGTGAACGGATGAAGAGCATAAGTACACAATTTACCAGCTGATGGAAAGGTAGGAGCTCACAGACGGGAGAAACTTACCATTCTCAGTGTCGACTGGCTGGAGTTCGACATTGACCTGTGTGTTTTGCTTGACTTTGGGGTCATCTGGGTAGGATACATGAACATAATGACAAATGATAACTCAAGGATTGTTTTCATTGCAATAATCAAATTTGACTTGAACGCTGTGAATAGCATTCAAGATCATTTGTCCTAATGAACACCGTGAACATACCAGTACTTTCCACTCTTGTTCCTTTAGGGGGTGGCTTGCGTGGCTTTGCAACTGGTCGATGCAAAAAGATGCTTGGTGTCGCAAATGGCCTTAGCTTCTTTTCACCGGTATTCTTGAGAATAATCGGTTCAAACTGGTCTTCTGTGAAATGATCCTGTAGCAGATTTGGAAACGACCTTCTAAACATGTTGTAAAGCGAAGTTAACAACGCGCACAGAGATAGAGAACTAGAGATAGTAGAACTCACTGCTGAAATTTATGAATGTTTATCGCTATACCAATAATAATAATTGCTGGGGTTTTACGTGCCAAAACCACGATATGAGTAAGAGGCAAGTCGTAGTGGACTGGTCCGGTAATTTCGCGACTACTTGGGATTCTATTACGTGCACTGAATACACACCGTACACGAGCCTCTAGCATTTCACCTCCATCGAAAATGCGACCGCCGAGGACGGGATCGAAGCGCGTCTTTCCAGTCAGCAGCCGAGCACCGTAACCGCAGTAACTGCCATACCACGACGGCGGACAAATTTAGGTCGCGTGCAACACAATGAGGATATCTGTCAGCGAGTTAGTGCGCTTCCCTTGCTTTATTTAATTGCATGCTAGGCTTGTAGTGCATGACCTACGTCAGCGGGTTCATAAAGCACTAAAATGAATAATCTCGACAATTGTGGGCCATCAAAACCAGCGCGCACGAATGAAATGCTATTGCAGCTCAGCACATGCACGCGTACGCTTTCTCTTGCGCCTTTGTGTCGCGTTACTTACCTCGTATAGTCGTGCAGTGGCCGACGGTTCGAAGTCTTTCCGTCCAATTCTGTGCAACCACACTTTTCTTCTGGTTAGGTTCTGCTTGCCCCGCAGGATGCAAAATAACTTCTTGCCGTCTTTCGTCCGGTTTCGGCACCCAAACGCACAGCAACATGGCATATCGGACCTTCCAGAACGAAATCACCACACAACGTGCATAGCGGAACAGGCGAAGCGAGTGCTCTCCTCACGGACCGCGGGAATCTTCATGGCGTAGCAAGGTCACGTGTCACAGATCAGCCTATCGCGGGCGCCGTCGGCTTCATGAAAGCTTTTCGATACTTTTGAATTTATTGAGGGACTTTAAGCAACACGCCAGCGCCTACGAATCTAGGGACAAATGCATGAAATATAGTCTTTCTCGGTTGTACCAATGCCTCCTCTAGAAAGATGCCTGAGGAATGGCTCGCGCTCCCAGCGAAGTTGGCCTGCCTTCAGTTTTAAACAAACTTCGCGCGATGGCGCTCGCGAACAACACTATATAACATGGGAGGTAGGAAGGCTGCAGTCGACGATAGATTATGCACTCATGTCACATAGGATGTATGATAAGCTCAGAGGAATACACATAGATGAAGTTGGCTCCAGAAGTCTGGGTAGTGATCACAAACGTATCAAGCTAAGTTTTGGAAGAGCAGTAAAAGTGGGAAGGAGACAAGATGAGCAACTACAGGAAAATTTTTATCCAGGAAGGCAAATTGAAATAGCCACTAAACAAATTGAGAAAGTAATCACGGAGGATAATAAGACAGTGTGGACATACACGAATCTAATTAGACTCTTTGAGCTAGAGCTTGCTAAGACGCGTGACAAGTCACCCCGGAAAAGAAGACACAAACCCAAAAGTTGGTTGGATGAGGAAGTTAAGAGAGCCATAGCAAAACGTCAGGAAGCCTCTAGGGAACACAGACATGCTAAGCAGCGGGGTGAACCGACAGATGATGTTGAAAGAAAATGGGAAACCTTTCTAAGCTGTAGAAGGGATGCATCCCTTCTGATCAATGAAAAGATTAGAAGAAAGGGAGCTCAGTGGCTGGAAGAAGTACATAAAAAAGATAGAAAGGCAGCTGCGAAATTTTGGAACCATCTAAACTCCCTAAGAAATGAGATGAGCCTAGAGCAGAGTTTTATAACTACAGCCCAAGGTGCTAGGCTAGAAGGGGACGAAGCTATTAAATATATAACAACAAGTGTGACAGAAAAATTTCAACAAAGAAGTACTTTATGCACCACAATAGACAAGGACGAATCAAGTGGTGCAATGGCTCCATTTTCACAACGAGAGTGGGAAAGGGCTGAAAAAAGGGTTCCTAGTAGTACATCAACAGGCCCAGATGGCATTCCAATTAGGCTGATAAAGACATTAGGTCCGAAGGCTAAACAGGCTTTGAGAGAGGCAGTGAGCACAATAATAATCGATGGTGAAGTTCCCGATGGATGGAAACTTAGCAGGATAAGCATGATCTATAAACGAAAGGGGGACAAAGCTGACATAAACAACTACCGTCCTATAACAGTGACATCAGTGGTCTACAGGCTGGCGACACAGATTATAAAGGAAAGACTGCAGGCATGGATAGAGGATGAGGGGGTGCTGGGGGAACTGCAGAATGGGTTTCGGAAACACAGGAGGTTGGAAGATAATCTGTTCTCACTGACGCAGTGCATCGAAATAGCAGAAAAGGAACACAGGCCCCTGTGGCTAGCATTTTCGGATATCAAGGGAGCGTACGATAGCGTGGTTCAAGAGGAATTGTGGGGAATACTGGACACACTAGGCGTGAAACATGTAGTCACTAATCTTTTAAAGGATATTTATAAAGGTAGTAAGGTAGTTATAAAGTGGGAAAAACAGGTATCCAAGCCTGCAGAGGCAAAACGGGGGCTTAGGCAGGGGTGTCCCCTGTCACCCTTATTATTCATGATGTACCTACAAGGATTAGAGGCCAAATTAGAGGGAAGTGGACTGGGCTTCAACCTCTCTTTAGTCAAACAAGGAAAACTCATTGATCAGGCACTACCAGCATTAATGTACACAGATGATATAGTGCTAATGGCCAACAACAAGGAAGATTTGCAGAGATTGATGGACACATGCAGTAATGAGGGAGATAGGTTAGATTTTATATTCAGTAAGGAAAAATCAGCAGTCATGATTTTCAATGACAACGAAGGTAGTGAGCTTAGAAAACAGGAGGTCACGCTAGAGATAACAGATAAATACAAATATCTGGGCGTATGGATAAGCAATGGGACCGAGTATCTGAGGGAACACGAAATATACGTGACGACTAAAGGTAACAGGAATGCAGCAGTCATGAAAAATAGGGCACTGTAGAATTACAATAGGTATGATGTTGTGACAGGAATATGGAAAGGGGTCATGGTTCCTGGGCTGATGTTCGGCAATGCGGTCTTGTGCATGAGATCAGAAGTTCAAGCAAGATTAGAAATTAAGCAACGTGGAATAGGTAGGCTTGCTTTAGGAGCTCACGGGAATACACCAAATCAGGGAGTACAAGGTGATATGGGATGGACATCATTTGAGGGCAGGGAAGCTAGCAGCAAGATAAAATTTGAGAAGCGATTGAGAGAAATGGGGGAGGAGCGTTGGGCTAGGAAGGTTTTCAGCTACTTGTACATGAAGAATGTCGATACAAAATGGAGGAAGCGAACCAGGAAGTTGACTGGTAAATACTTAGAAAACAGCAGGTGGCCGAACCAAAAAGAACTTTTGGTTAAGAAGAAAGTGAAGGAAACGGAGACTGACTTGTGGAGAATGGGCATGATTGAGAAGTCCGCACTAGAGATCTATCGAACTTTTAAGCAGGAAATTGCCAAGGAAAGGATCTATGACAATACTCGGAGTAGTTCTCTACTGTTTGAGGCCAGGACGGGAGTACTGCGAACCAAAGACATATCGGACCAAATACGAAGGGGTAGACACAGTATGCAGTGTGTGTGGAGAGGAAGAAGAAACTGTCGAACACTTGATAATGTTCTGTAAAGGGCTTCACCCTATAGTTCAGGATGATGGCGCAGAGTTTTACAAAGCACTGGGGTTTAGGGACAGCAAGGGCAAAATAGACTTCAAGCGGGTAGACTTAACTAGAAGGAGGTTATCTGATTGGTGGCTAAAGTCAAGGCACGAGTGAAAATTAAACCCTTCACTGCGAAGTACGAATCCTCAGCTTCATTATTTAAAGGAAAAAAAAAAGATAAATGTAATGGTTAGTTCACTAAGTATTACGGCTAGGTGGCGTTAGCCGCCGCCCGATCTAAAGGGTACAGCCACATCCATCCATCCATCATGCTGAGGGAACTGCAGAACGGGTTTCGGAAACACAGGAAGTTGGAAGACAATCTGTTCTCACTGACGCAGTGCATCGAAATAGCAGAAAAGGAACACAGGCCCCTGTGGCTAGCATTTTTGGATATCAAGGGAGCGTACGATAGCGTGGTTCAAGAGGAATTATCGGGAATACTGGACACACTAGGCGTGGAAGATGTAGTGACAAATTTTTTTAAGGAGATCTATAAAAGTAACAAGGTAGTCATAAAGTGGGAAAAACAGGTATCTAAGCCCACAGAGGTGAAACGGGGGCTTAGGCAGGGGTGTCCTCTGTCACCCGTGTTATTCATGATGTACCTACAAGGATTAGACGCCAAATTAGAGGGAAGTGGACTGGGCTTCAACCTCTCTTTCGTCAAACAAGGAAAACTCATTGAACAGGCACTATCAGCATTGATGTACGCAGATGATAAAGTGCTAATGGCCGACAACAAGGAAGATTTGCAGAGATTGGTGGACATCTGCGGTAATGAGGTAGATAAGTTAGATTTTAGATTCAGTAAGGAAAAAATCATCAGTCATGATTTTCAATGACAACGAAGATAGTGAGCTTAGAATACAGGAGGTCACGCTAGAGATAACAGACAAATACAAATATCTGGGCGTATGGATAAGCAATGGGACCGAGTACCTGAGGGAACACAAAATATTCGTGACGACTAAAGGTAACAGGAATGCAGCAGTGATGAAAAAATAGGGCACTGTGGAATTACAATAGGTATGATGTTGTGAGAGGAATATGGAAAGGGGTCATGGTTCCTGGGCTGATGTTCGGCAATGCGGTCTTGTGCGTGAGATCAGAAGTTCAAGCAAGATTAGAAATTAAGCAACGTGGAATAGGTAGGCTTGCTTTAGGAGCTCACGGGAATACACCAAATCAGGGAGTACAAGGTGATATGGGATGGACATCATTTGAGGGCAGGGAAGCTAGCAGCAAGATAAAATTTGAGAAGCGATTGAGAGAAATGGGGAAAAAACGTTGGGCTAGGAAGGTATTCAGCTACTTGTACAAGAAGAATGTCGATACAAAATGGCGGAAGCGAACCAGAATATTGAATCATAAATTCTTGAAAACAGCAAGGGGCCAAACCAAAAAGATTTATCGGTTAAGAAGAAGGTGAAGGAAGCTGAGACTGATATGTGGAGAATTAGCATGATTAAGAAGTCCGCACTAGACATCTATCGAACTTTGAAGCAGGAAATAGCCAAGGAAAGGATCTATGATAATACTCGGGGTAGTTCTCTACTGTTTGAGACCAGGGCGGGAGTATTGCGAACAAATTATCACACATAGTTCCTACACAGCATCAGCAGCACCTCTCTTTAGCACTCTCGAAATTCTACCGTTAATTTCCACCTTTCAACTCAAACTTGGAATTTTATTATTCAGAAGTAGAGTCGGTGACATTCCCACTGACATACTTCCCCGCACACATCTCCACAATACTAATAACACACGGTTTTCTGAGTAACTTTCTGCTTCCAAACGTAAGTACTAAGTATGGCAAAATGACAGCCTTGTTTTCAGGGAAAGAAGTGTATATCTAAGGGCTCGGTTTTCCGTGTTTTAACACAATATTAATGAGATCTAACAGACAGTAATGCCAAGGAATGTACAGGGGAAGTTATTAGAACCAATGGAATGTAAATAAGTAGAAAGAAAAGTGGATGAAAAAATAACCAGCCGTGAGCAGGAATCGAACCTACGACCTTCGAATAACGCGTTCGATGCTGTTACCACTGAGCTACCACAGCGGCCTTCCCTCCATCCACTTTTTTTGAGGTTTATATGTTAATTTAGAAGTAGGAGTGACAGTCAGCGTCATCTATAAACGAAACGACGAGTTTGAAAACACTCTTATGCGCATGTTTGGCGTCACGTAGCACGTGAACTTATTATGAGCGGGCAGCTGATTAATTGTCCCTCTTATACAACCTAAACACACCAAGTCTGCCAGTACGAGACCCTCGTTCAATGAAATAAGGGCTCGTTTTTCCGCGTTTTAACACAATATTAATGAGATCTAACGGACAGTAATGCCAAGGAATGTACAGAGGAAGTTCTTAGAACCAATGAAATGTAAATAAGAAGAAAAAAAAGTGGATGAAAAAATAACCAGCCGTGAGCAGGAAAACGAGGGCTACTCTTTAGTGGGCAACATTGTGCATCAATTTTTTTTTGCTGGCAACATTGTGGGCATTGCCTAGGTGTGAAGGTCTCGTGTCGCGCATGTGGTTACGCTCTGCTCACTAGCTGCTGAAGCGTGCAAATTGCATGAATTTATTACTTCGAACCCTTTGACTTAAAGAGAAGTAATGACTGAGCAACTGCATTTGCGAGGCACCCTTCGGGGTCATAATGGCTGGGTAACACAAATCGCGTGTAACCCGAAGTTTCCGGATACGATCCTTTCATCATCCCGAGGTCTAGTTTCTCATTTACTTGGTCAATATTTCATCTCATAAAACTGGTAACCTCGCAATACTTGCTGTTTTATTCCTGTGCTAGTATTTAATGTTATATGTGCAGTTTAATAAATAGAGTAATAGTTGAGGGTGCCTTAAGCTTGTTTAGACAGCGGTGTGTTAGATTTTTTTTTTTTTTCAGATAAAACATTGATCTTATGGAAGCTTACCCGTGACGACATTAATTACGGTATCCCCAGAAAGCGCCTGAAAGGGCATGGACATTTTGTCACAGACGTTGTGATGTCCTGTGACGGCCAATATGCTCTATCCAGCTCGTGGGATAAAACACTGCGGCTTTGGGATCTATGCGAGTAAGTCGGTTAGGGCATGTTTTTGTATCGCATTGAATATGTTCTTCCAACGTACAACTTGGCGTGTACTTGCAGGGGAACTGCCACCCGTCGATTCGAAGGTCATGAAAAGGATGTTCTGAGTACTGCATTTTCGGCGGACAATCGGCAGATCGTGTCAGGATCACGAGACAAGACGATCAAGCTGTGGAACACTCTAGCGGAGTGCAAGTACACAATCAAGGTAATCGACTTGTGCTTCGTGTTCTTATTTTACAGTTGTAGCAGCATGTTCTCAAGGTATCTATACTGTTTTTCATACATAGCATTCAGTGTTGTGGTAAAATTCAAGCAATTCGGTGAGACAAGATTTATTCTTGTAGAGAGCCGGTATTAATTACAGCACTGGTGTTGCTGCTGCACCTTAAAGGTAGCATGACATACAGTAACTCTACTGCACCCTGTATGCTCCCTATGGGAACAAAGTGGCGCATAGGTCCACCATCTCTCCTGGTTAGCAACCACAGTTACCCGCGACTGTTTTTGCAGGCAACTTAAGCCTGTCGCTGATTGACAAAATGTGTCGCCGATTGCCAGTTGACATGCTTGGCGTGTCAATGACCGGCGAAGAAAGAAGAAACACCTCTCGGGACTGTGCCATGGGAGTTCAAAATCATTTTTTGTCTGTCCGGTTACACAAAGCGTGACGGTGTAGCGTAGTGCCAAATAACATGCAAGGTAGATAGATACAACAGGTAGCAAAGGCTCGATAGAAGCCCATACATTCAGAAAATGGTGGCTGATCAGCTGCTCATTGGGCTTAGCGCCATCTCTGTGAAGAGGGAACACTTCGGGCGAAACAAAAATTAAAGCGGATGTCACGCAATAGTTAGTAAACGAATAATGTCATATTGTGTGCAGTAGTGCAAAATTTGATCTCAAATTAATTTTTATAGGGCCCTGATAGCTAAGGACTACGGCAATCTCTGGCGACTCCTCCACGAGTGCGCTTCAAGTCAACGCCAGCTAATCTGATACCGACTCATGACTAGATAGTGATGATTAAGTGAAAATTGTGTCAGTTTTACTAGGAAACTTTTCTTTAAACTTTTATTCGATGTTCGTGTCATCTTCCACACATGGATTAAAGCAACCATCAGCGTATACCTGTCATATCTGGAGCATTGCTTATGTGCTTCATACATAGGCAGGTTTTGTAGCATGCACAATTCTTGTGTTCTTCAGTTTTAACTGGAAGGAATGACACCTAGTCACACCAAAATTATGATATTTGAATTTTATTCAATGGTCGCAGTAAGTAATATGTATTGCATTGCACACAATAGTAATAAGCACGAAAAATCTGCGGACACTACTTGCGTTATGTTTTATTTTGTGCATTATGCTCCGATAAATTACTGCTACGTATGCGAATGCAGACATGCAAACTGTAACGTGATAGATAACTTGGCAATCTGCTCATAATAGTAGGCACTGCATGCTCAAGAAGGAAACTGGGCTGCAGGAATACTGCTGGATGAAAGTCCAGCGAGCTCTGTATTGCGAACCATTGGCCTTGTTTCTTATCTAGAAGACATGGGTCACAGGCATATGTTAGTTGCTATTGCGTCCTTGCACAGCACATCGTTTCCGCTAGTACCGACGGAAGCACTCGGCGTTAAGTGTAATCCACATCGTCCCGCTGCCCATTGGACACTGCACTCAAGACGTTCACCAACGATAAAACGCACCTCACATTTTCGCACACAGTAGAGAGCCCCGCTGCGGTGGTCTAGTGGCTAAGGTACTCAGCTGCTGACCCGCAAGTCGCGGGATCGATTCCCGGCTGCGGTGGCTGCATTTTCGATGGAGCCGAAAATGCTGCAGGCCCGTGTGCTCAGATTTGGGCGCATGTTAAAGAACCCCAGGTGGTCGAAATTTCTGGAGCCCTACACTACGGCGTCTCTTATAATCATATGATGGTTTTGGGACTTTAAACCCCACATATCAATCATCAATGGCATACAGCCGAGAACGTAAGCAACTGTGAAGCACTAAAACACATGAGGGGGTGTGTCATGACAGACGAATTTTACGAGCGTGCCTTTCCATGCAGTGCAAAGGCTGCACTGAGTAATAATAGCGTGAACAGAGGGCGCTAGAAAAAGGATTTTTCATAATAATAAAACACTCAAAAATCCTTTGCTCCTTACACCTACATAATATCTTGGAGAAAGAAATTTCATTTGTAAAACAGTGATTGCTTCGACTTTGAATCAAACTTAGTTTTTCAGTATTAGTGTTTGTTCCCATAACTCCCCATGCTGATGTCACTGGCAATAGCTTGTGAACCACTTTTCGCCCGAAATTTCACCACCTTTTTGAATAGACCTTGTAACATGCACCGCAGCTGCCGCATTGTCAAGTGGCACCAGCTATGGAAGATAAGCAACTCACAAACACAAAATATAGGTCCTTAGAGATTCGATGATGGCTCGACTGAGCCTACAGCATTGATTATTTTAATATGTTTTTCGAAAATGGTGTTGAATTCACGCAACTACTTTGCTGTCGAAGCTTAAGGACATGAATCTAAAGCAAAAAATTGGCAGATCCCACGTACAGTGGGATCTGCCAATTTTGTGTCATTTACCTTCATCATTTACCGTGTCATTTACCTTCATAATCTTTTCACGCCACCTGATACCAAATTTGGTATATGTGGAGCTAGCGAAACGGCCGCGAGCATGCTATGAGCGTAGCATGTAGTCGTGTTATACATGACACACATATCATGATTATCATCTTCAGACATGTAATTTAACTTCGCCGTCTATTGACGTCATGCAATACCAATTTAGTATATGTGAAGCTAGAGAAACAACCACGAGCGCATCATGAGCGTGGCATGTGGTCGTGTTCTTACATGACACGCATCTCATGATTATCATGTTTGCACCAGTCGCATACCTTTGTCATCCCTTCTCGCCTTGTAACACCAAACTTGGAATATGTGAATCTAGCGAAACGACGGGTAGAGCATTATGAAGGGCCCAATGTACTGTGACGTAACATTGACACGCGCACGCTGGGCGCAGGGACGCTACGCTAGCAAAACGCGAACACTCTATAGTCCGATGCCAGACGCGACCAGCGTCTGTCGGCACGGCCCAGCGGCAACCGGTGCGCAGTGCGACACGCTGCATTTCACACCAAACACGTTACGCAGAATGCCCCATGTCTGTCTAGCTTTGTGACGAAGGGACGCTGGGCGTGCTCAAACGCGCATGCGCCAAAGCAACGCAGTGCGGCGCGTGCCTGCGAGTATATGCCAGGCAGATCGGCCCCTGGCGTGGCAACGCCAGCATGACGCGACGAAACAAACGCTGGAGCACATGCGCACCAGGTCACGTCTAAGTGTATTGGCGCCTTGAGTGTGGCATGTAGTCATGCTCTTACATGACACGCATCTCATAATTATTATGTTTGCACCAGTCATATACCTTCGTCATCCATTCACGTGACGTAATACCAAATTTGGCTTATATGAATCTAGCGAAACGGCCCCTAGCTTTATGAGTGCAGCATCTAGTCATGTTGCTACATGACATGTGTCATGATTATTATGTTTGGACATGTCATTTACATATGTCGTTCGTTCGCGTCACGTAATACTGAATTCGGTACATGTGAAGCTAGCGAGACGGCCGCAAGCGCATCATGAGCGTAGCATGTAGTCCCATTGTTGCATGACACGCATCACATGATTATCATGCTTGCACCAGTCACATCCCTTTGTCGTCCATTCACGTCTCGTAATACCAAATTCGGTGTATGTGAAGGTAGCGAAACGGCTGCGAAGGCATCATGAGTGTGGCTTGTAGTCATTATGTCACATGACACGCATCTCATGATTATCGTGTTTGCACCAGTCACATACCTTCGTCATCCATTCAGGTACTGTAATACCACATTTGGTATATGTGACGCTAGCGAAACAGCCGTGAGCGCATCATGAGTGTGGCATGTAGTCATGTTGTTACATGACACATGTCATGATTTTCATGTTAGGGTCGGTCGCTTGTGTTCGCCATACAATCATGCCATACCATACCAGTTTTGTAACATGTCATGTGAACGAAACCACCACAAGAGCTGCAAAACCATGAAATGTAAATCATGACATACATGTCATGATTTTCATATTATGACTAGTCAAATATTCTCGTCATACAGTCATGTTATGTCATACCAAGTTTGGTATCGATACCATTATCCAAACGGCCAGGAGAGCTAAAAGTCGTAGGCGGCTAGATAGATATGCTCAAAGTCGCCGAAGTTCGCTAAGAAATGCTTTGCATTTAATATATGCACCAGTTCCTAGCTAAGGAGCTACAGAGCGCACGACAGTCACTTGATAGATTGCAGGTGGACAGCGACCGCTTTCGGCGGTCGAGCCTGTGCGCCAGTGCCTCTGCACTGCGTGGTTGCTAGCGGTGTTAGAAAACAAATGCGCTACTCTGCTACCTAAAGGTAGTATGTACAGTTACTCTACTGCACCTAAGCAAGCTACGTCCTCTGTGTGGCCAGCTGTGCTTGCTCTTAGACGTAGTTTCCTATAATTACACGAAAAGAAACTATGTTGTTATATTCTATGGGAGCTGCAATGGACGGGGCTTTAGTCAGCATGGGAATCATTGGTAGTACACGGATTTGTTTAATCTTCATTGTTTCAGCTCCGTTTTGCTCTGTGTGGCCTGAGTCTGCTTTGCCGCAAGTCGAAGTTCAGCACAGGTTCAAAAGCCACATGGTTTCACACTGAGGGATGCCAGCAGCTGCCTAGCTTCTGGCTCATTGAAATTGTTGACTGAAGTAAAGTGACAAGGAAGCTGTTTTTTTTTTACTGCCACTGTTTCTGTTACTATAATCAGCACAAATGTGAAGCACGTTTGCTTTTCATATTGAGCTAAGCATCTTGCTCAGCAAGTTCACAGCTATATTGTAGAACCCTGACCAAGCCTTCGCCACCCTCCTCTTTCGGTCAGCAAGTTAGTAAGGGGGGGGGGGGGGGGGGCTTTTCTTTAGAATTGCATGAGTATGTAAGGTAGCATCAGCAAAGTTTTTTGCGCTAGAGAAAATACTTCCTCAGGCGTCTTCTCGCTCTCTTTCATGGCGAGGCGCATTCACAAACTCAAGTAACACAAGGGGAATATTATAGAACCGCGGGAAGCATCACATGAGGGC